GCTCCCCAGCCAGTCCTGCTGCACCAGGCACATGTGCGCCCGCCCCTGCCCATGCCCTCCAGGCATGCGCGGCTCCATGCTGTGCTCAGGGCCTGGGAGTTAAGCAGCAGGGTGGTCCTGATGCATGCTGTAGAGCTGGGCCAGCGTCAGCTTCCTGTGCTGGGCAGAGATCCCAGGGGGCTGCTCAGGCTGAACCCTGGGGGAGATCCCTGAGGGCAGTTCTCTGCTCCTCCTGGCGGGCCCTTTGGGCTCCCCCACCAGGCAGGTGGTCCTGCCCTCCATCTCTGATAGCTGGGAGCCACTGCCAGGGCTTGGTGTGCCCCCGCAATTCCAGCGGGGCCCAGCTTCCTGAGGGGAGCCCCGAGTCCTAGTGCCAGTGGCTGTGGCAGCCAAGCAGAGTTCCGACAGGCTGTGGCTGGGGGCTGAGGGCGCCCCCTTGGTGGTGGCCCCTGCTAGCAGCTGCAGGAGGCTGGCCTCAGATTTGGACTTGAGCAGGTGGGGCAGGCGGGGCAGTAGCTGGACAGGGGTGTGCGGCGAAGGCAGGGCGAGGGCGGGGGTGAAGGGGCCTGTGGTAAATCTAGGGGCCGGGGCGCTGGCTCCACCACAGGGGCTGGGGTCGCAAAGTCTTGCAAGGAGGTGGGGGAGAGGGTGCAGTAGGCGGAGTCCATGGAGCAGGAGCGGCTGTCCCCGGGGCCCAGGGCCAGCAGCTCGCTGGTCTGTGTGACAGATGAGGCGGTGGTACTGAGGGACATCTCCTCCGACTGGGAGCTGAAGGGGCCGCCCTCAAACTCGGGAGAGGAGAGCATCTCCCCGGGCTCCAGCACCACCATGGCCAGGGTCTCTGTGGAGCCGTCCAAGGCGCAATGCTGGGAGTCCAGGCTGTTGCTGCTTTTGCGCAGGATGGTGGGGGAGCTGGCGGCAAAAGTGCTACTCTCCCCACCCTCCTCTTCCTCCTTGTCTTCCTCCTGGTCCTCCTGCTCATCCTCCTCCTCCTCCAGGCTCTGCAGGTGCTGCTGGCTGCCCACGTGCTCCTGCGCACGCAGCTGCTGCAACTGGTTCTGGGCATTGTAAATGGAGTCCACCCAGCCCTGGCACAGAGCCTGCCTGCTGGCCTGGAACGTGTAGGCCCCCACGGCGCTGTGGAACTCGTTCAGGTAGATGAGGAGGAAGGAGCCAGGGTCCCGCAGCTCCCGGCACATGATCTTGTCCACCAGCAGTGGTGGCCTGATGACCCTGGTCCCCTCAGCCTTCTTCACTGCCTTGATCACTTAGAGTAGGTCCGTGAAGAGGAAGCAGTACACATCCATCTTGCTGTCCTTTCCCTCCTTCATCCTCAGGCTGCCCTCCAACATCAGCTGACGCGTCTCCTCTGGGGAGGCACCAGGGATGGGCACGGTCAGGTCCAGGTGCAGAAATTCCTTCAGGAGCTTGTCCACCTCGTCGTTGCTACCCTCCACCACCT